ATCCCTCTTTTTTTTTTTTTTTATTGATATTCAAAAAGGACTTTAGTTGCCGCGGATGACCTACATGGTGCGCTAATGTGTTAATTGAATGTGCCATTCCCGAAATTGATTTTCATTCCTCTGGCACCCAAAAGAATTCAACGTTCTTGTTTATGGAAACTAGCTTTTATTTTTTCATTGTCCATGGAGCCTTGTTTTTGTTGCTCAGCGTCCACTCGTTTCCTGGATCGTTAATTAATACCGTGCTGCATTGGTATTAATTTACCGATATCGAAGGATCTTGTTCGGTAGTTTTCAAACTGTATTAAAAGTACAAAACGCTTTCGTTCGATAACATTTTTTAACAAATATGTACAATCGAGGTTGTCATGTATGTTTGTTCAAAAATAAATGTAAAATACATTAGGAATCTCACGATTGACGTTTAATGAACTAAAAGAATTGTATGCGTTAAAAATTAATTCTTCAGCGCTTAGCAAAGTTAAATAAAATTAATCGATCAAAAAAAAAACGGAAGGATTCCTTCCTAAATTTGAATAATAGCCAAATGGAAGATTGAAGCAAAGAAGTAGCATATTTGGTGGCAAAGAGATCCCCCTAAATTTTCCTAGATTGACAAACTTTAATTTCGTATTTTAGGCGAACTATTCTAAGGACTTCTTTTTTTTTTTAATTAACATGAACCTATTGCGAATGCACGTGTAGGTAGCTCGAGTTGCTTTACAATATCGATCCCCTGCGCTGTCTGGCGCCGGTGGAGACCACGGTTCGCTTGTTTCCCCGCAAAAACTAATTTATAGCCCCCGAATTTCCATTTTCTCGGTGCGCGCGCTAAACAACTCGCAGGATATTTCAAATTCTTCCACGGTTTTCGATTCGTTTTCTCGTAGCGACCGTTCACTCTGCGCTGTTTAGGTGGCTTGGCTTCGAGTTTCACACAGTAAGAGATATCACGTCTATCATACGGACTTTTTCATTAGGTTTAATGTATTCCGAATGTTTCTCTAGAAAAGAGGTGGCCTCTCTGCTTGGTTGATTTCCCTCGGATCGAGATCGCCGGGGCTGAAGCACTTCATTTTATGCGAGGCCTCGTACAGTGAGGCGCAAAATTCTTAGTGGATACAGGAAGTAACAAGGATGTGGACTATGAAAGAAATGATAAGGGATTTTGCTACGTTTCTTGCTTAGGAACTATAATATTTAGACTATGGACTTAGAAAACTATTAGAAAAGAATTGAAACTATTCTTCGTTCAGTATTTGGGTCACGAAATTATTGGCACACGCAGTATGTAACTGGGGTATGAAAATAAAATAAAGGACAGGTAAAAGATTTTTGGAAAACCTTTGATTAAAAATGGAAATACATTTGTAAATTAAATTGTAATATGTAATAGTGCCATAATATCGAAGAGGGTTGCTCAAAAAATGGGATCAATGCCAAAGAGACTTCTCGACGTGATATAACAGGTTACCCTAATAAAAGTTATCGCTATCAAACCTATCAACTCATATAACTCCTTTTATGGCCAATAAATTGGTGACCCAAATAACGCATGGAATTGTTTCGTCTCGTACCTTTTCACACCATCAAATCATATTGTTTTATATGCTTATAATCTAAATATTATATTCACCGAATAAGAACCTTTCACAATTTCTGTTATCTTTTATATTTCTGTCATTCATCGCATCTGCCAATGATTTTGCGAGTCACTGTACGTTTTTCGCGATGAACGCTGCGATCTACATTTTACTGCATTTTACTGCGCTGCAAGTAGGTTTTTCTCTACACTCGAAACCTTTTAACACGTTCCCCGCGGTTCTTGGTTCACGTTAAACCTATTTCCACGTTAGGTTCTTTTCTTATTAATAGGTATATACGGGCAAAGAAAAACGGGGTTGTATCTAAACAAAAATTGATGACCCTTTCCTGTAGTGTATCTATAATTGTTATCTTTTTCAATAAATTTATGCCCTTTTGTATATCTAGGATTTTTATTTATGTTTTTAATAAATACCCCTTTTCATACCTCTTCCTATAGAAAATGTAGGATTTATATTTTTGTTTTTTTAATAAATTTACACCACTTTCTATAGAATATCTGGAATTTCTATATATATATTTTTTTTAATAAATCCACACTACTTCCTATAGAATATGTATCATTTTTATTTCTTTTTTCAATAAATTCGTACCCTTTAATAAATGTTGATTAGTTTCTGTATCATTTCATTCTACAAATCAACCAATAATTGTTACTCCACAAGAAATATACCAGGACCAAAAATTGATTTTTCAACTCAACCCTGATCGACTCCCTCGCAACGTAGTGTCCAGAGGGCACGTGCCCCCGTATACCTCCGCTTGCCATATCCTTGTGCATTGCAATCGGTATACACGGTTTCCAGGTTGGCTCCGATAACGTGTTTATAGCGATGGCGGAGCCTTGTGGCAACCGGTTTGCCAGTTTCTCCTTTGTGGCTGGCACTTCTCTGCCTTCCAGCGAGGAATGTCGTGTCTACCTGGAACCTTTGTTAAAATTGCGTTTTCGAATAACCTCGTTTTCATTTGAAATTGCATTTTCTTATGTATATTTGCCCCTTTCCTTATTACCCGCGAAATTACGGCTCGTCAGGAGGGCAAATATCGCTGTAGCAATATTTTACGAATTATAATTGAGGAAATTAAAATTCGATGAAGAGTACGGTGTATGTGTCGAAAAATTCAAGGCATTGCCTCAAGAATTGTACTATGATATGAAATCCACTCATTGAAATTCATGGATCAGTCGAGTATATGGTCTCTAATATTAATTAACACGTTGACTGCCAAACGAATATTCTTGAAAATTTCTGCTAAGATGAAATATTATTTAGACTATCAGAGTGTAGGTAATGAAGTATTTATCGTGGTATTTAGTTTCGTAACTACATCAAAATTCAAAAACTTTATTTAGATTCATCTCCTGTGACGTCTAACTTTCAGAATTAATCTTTTTAGTTCTTGAGTGAAAAACACCCATATATGGGTGAAAAAAATCCATATATGGGTGACATGGCGATCGACGTGTTAAGGAATACTTCTCTGTCGATAAATGTCGTTTTTGTATTTTTATAAAAAGGAAATTGAACAGTAATTCGTTGAAAATTCACAATTGCCAGATCGAAGATTTGGCAATTTTTTACATCGAAGCTGATCGATTAGAAAGCTACCTGAAAGGCAATTGGACACGCTCCGCAAGGAGTAACGCGTGATATTCGCGCGGAAACGCGATTTCGCGGAAATCAAACTAACTCTAAGATCAACATCCGTGTAAATCTTGAATTCATTGTACCACAGAATTTCTCATGATCTGGCGTAAACGAATCGTAATAGGAGAATCTATTCTTAGCTCCTTTACTGTTTCCATTTAGCATTTTCAGTTTGATGATTGCGATAACGCGATAGATACGCTCGATTCTAATCCTGTTGCAGCGCGATGAGGTACGATGGAAAGTATTTACTTTATTTATGGCCTATATCGCCTGTAATTATTATGGAAATTCGAAAGGAACGCGTTTAACGTTCATTTTTCCGGCTTTTCGTGATGCGAGATGATATTATGCACATAATTTACAATAAATATAGCATGCATGGCGGATTTTGAAACGTGGAATTCACGGTCCAGCATTATAGTCCTGGCAGTATGTAATATGTATCTTGCGTGTAATATATTTCCTCACTCTTCTTCCGGCTAGGAGAACCTAACTTAACCATTTCATGGATTTCTCTTCAAGTTTGCTGATAATATATCTACGTTTCTTGCGAATTAAATGTACTGTAAAGTAACTTTTAATTAACGTTTATTTCAAATGTACTATTAAATTTTTAATCAAAAGAATTCTATGAATACTAACGTGAAATATTATTTACAACACTCTTTGAGAGAAATATCCACGTTTCTTGATATTCTAAATGTACTGTAAAGTAACTTTTAATTAACATTTATTTCAAATGTAGTATTGAATATTTAGCGAAAGAATGATACGAATAATGACATGAAATATTATTTAAAATACTCTTTGAGAGGAATAAAATTCGTATTCAACATGGACGAATTCTTCGGAAAAGTGATTGTTCAATTTTCTCTTCATGGAAATATGAAGAATGACGATAGAGAACGAAAATAATATATTTCGATTTCAGATAAAGTCTGTTGATAAAGTTTATTAATATATCCGCGACTCTGTAAGGTCTGTTGAACTTTTGCAATCTTATCATGCGCATGTATTATCACGTATGTAGGATAAGGAAATAGGTTAAGATTTACGATAGGGTCGCGGCGACGCGGCATGGGCTGCAGACCTGGGGAAGCGAGGGCTGCTACGCACTTCCCCTCTTAGGCCCAGCGACGAAAGCACATTTTTGGGAAAAACCCATAGACAAAGGCGAGGTAAAGTGAAACAAGCGTGGGGTGGTTAGACGTCTTGTCAGGGAGTCAGTCGATAGTCGTTGTCGAAGGTAGAAAGTCGTCAACAGTCGTTAGTCGTCGCAGTTGTACTACATATACTGTACTACATATATTACATATAAGCTTTCATATTTCTAGTTTAATCGAACCTTAAACCGTTTCTTATCACCATCTTACATCCAATCCCACACCTATGTGTTATCAAAACTTCCTAGCAATATATATATTCCTCTAACAAGAGAATAGGACCCGGAGAGGGAAAGATAAATGAAATAATTCCATTATTGTTCTGCTTGCATTAGTCCCGTAGGGTATGGTTACAATTTCATATTTTAAAGACGAAGAAATTTAGCTTTCAAATTTCTTTCTATTAGATCCATCTTGTATTACCTTCCTGGAGTCAATGGGAAATAAAATTTCCACTTACTGTTGTAATTTCCACATACACCAGTTGCTCGGCCCTGAAATGGTTAATCCCGTTAAAAAATAGCTTCGATTTGCGTGCCTGTAAATAAAAACTGATCGATCAAGTTTATTTTTACCTAACAGTCGTCGTTCGACGTTTACTTCAAGCGTACTTTCACATAGTGACGCAATACGATGACGTCGCGACAATGCTCGCGCGTAATAACGAGAATAACGTGATATTTCAGGGGCCAAATTTTTCGCCATCGCAAGTATGCGTCTCCAGACACTTTTTGGCTTATTGTTCGTCGTATGCGTGCTAGTCGTAAGGGATGCTTCCGGCCACGGAAGACTGATCGAGCCGCCCTCGAGGGCCTCGATGTGGAGGTACGGCTTCGACACGCCGCACGATTACAACGATAACGAGTGCTACTGTGGCGGATTCACCAGACAGTGGCAACGGAATAAAGGGAAATGTGGAATCTGCGGGGACCCCTGGGACTCCAGAACGGTAAGTAGAAACATTTTGGTGGAAATTAACCCTTTGCGCAGAAGAGATTTTCGAGAGGACTATCAGCAACTTGAGATGGTCACGTTCAAAAATTTTTTTGGACGATTTAAATACGTATTTTAATTTGGAACAAAGTGTAGTTTTATTGGGCAAGTATTGAACTTGGTACGTGAATATTTTGGTAAAGATATATTTGAAAACGGCGAAGATACAGCAAATCCTCATCATCTAACCCTTTGCATTCGAGGTACATACCAACGACTCGGGACGCTGAAATTTAAGAATTTTTTTGGAAGGTTTAAATGTGTATCTTGATATGGAACAAAGTGTAGTTTTGTAGGGCAAGTATTGAACTTGATA